TCTGGAGACCACAACAATTAATAATCCAATAATTCATGCAATGTGAGGTCTGGCATCTAGCAAGCTGGGACTATTCGTTCCATTTGTTTGCAGAGACTGATTATTGTACTCGCAGAGGCTATTTATAAACTCAATGTTTGATTATCTTGTAGGTCATTACTGTGATCAAAGCAGATCAGTTTGGCTTAATTGCAAGCCACATTTATCAATGTCTGAGTTCATAGCCTGCAGACTGAGGAGAAAACTTGTGCTGTAAAATTTGGCAATGTGAAAATTCTCTTTATAGGTCAATTTATTCCCAGCTGTGGCCCTTATGACATAACAGACACTCCATACGGAAATGGTTCAATGGTTGGACTGTTCCTCATTGGTAAACTGTACTGGACCTTAAACTTGTGTATTGACAGAAACTCTTCAAAGACTTCCTAAAATACATGAGCAGTTGTTACATTTTGATGGTCCTTTTAAAATGTTTATTTAAAGCTTTTCATCAAATGTTAATCAGGTCTTGGTTTTATTTTGGGGGGGTTCTAAGAAATTTAAACATCTTAGGGCATTTTGGTTTGATTTTGATGTATTATGGAAATACTATATCCACTACTACCCCTTTGTACAAAACCCAATGTCCACTGGCAATGGATCAGTCCCTGAGCATGATGCTCCCTTTATCATGCTTAGAATAGATTTTTTTAAGTTTGTAAACCTTAAATTTATTCCACAAATTCATTGCCACTGTAACCAAATAAATCAATCTTTGTCTCTTCTGACCAAAAATATTTCCTCTGAAGGGAATTTGGTTTTCCATGCCAATAGCTCGATTGTAGTCATGCTTGAACTGTGTTGATTCCAAGGATTATATTAGATTCTTTTTAATTAATCTCTCACTTTTCTGTTGATTTTGATATTTGATGATCTATCCATTTTCTATTCATGTTAATTACAGTAACGGCTTGCTCTTTTTTCTTGATCCTTTTATGCAATTAGGAAAAAAATTTGTCTTGGAATTTATGCACCGCAAAACTTATCTAAACTTCACAACTGCAAGTTTGTTCAGCGTAAGGTTACTTACCCTTCATATAAGTAGATAAGTAAAATCATCTGGTAAGGAAATTAGTAATTTGGTCCCTAAAATAAAATAATTATACATACTGCACTTGAAATAACATAATAGAGATGTTGTTTTTTATAACCCATTTAGATCAAGAAAGTTTTACTTATGTTAAGTGCAGTAAGTTGCTCTTTATTCAGGCTTAAACGAGTATCTGGACTACTCAGTTAATAACAGCGTTGGTTATTAAAACATTCCTGTTAATGGTGGCAAGAAATTTACCAGCTTGAGTCAATCACAAAAATCAAGAAGTTAATAAGCTTTGAACATCTCAAAGAAACACATTTTGGAATTGTAAAGTGACATTTATTTTTGTGTGCCTAATTTTATTGTTTAGAAAGCACCAAGTACTGTTGATGCATCTCACAATCCTGAGATTCCTTGTTTTTGATTTTCCTTTGTGTGTATTTCAGTATGTCGCTTAGTTTTTTGGTTGCTGCTTTCATAAGATTGTTTTTCCTTAATGTTTTCCCAAATCTTTCATTGTTTGCCTTCTCCTGGTGTTCTTTATACATTTAGAGTAATTTTCTGTTATATCTTTATTAGATATAACTTCTGGGTTTTCTATGTACTGTTATGGTCAATTAATCTCCCACCTTCAGCTATGGCCACCATGCAATAATGCCAATTGCATGTTGGCCATATTGTTCATATATTATTGTTCATAATTTTTCCATAGTTTTGTCCATGCTCTTCAATAAATTAGAATCTCAGTTTTTTTTTTTTTTTTTCTTACAGTCACAGTTGCCTGTCCATTGACTGTATGCTATATTATTTTGCCACAATTCAATCTGATTCTGCTAATAGATTCTTTAAACCAAAATATGATACTTTAAGCTGGTAAAAGGCTTCAAACAAATGAAAGAAGATCAAAAATCAAACAATATTAAAGCGAAACCTGATTATAAATTATATCTATTTTTATTTTATTTTATTTAACTTTATTATTTATTGAAAGATCATTTTTTAGGTGTTTTAAGCAATATTGTAAATAAGAAAGGGGGAAACAGTGTTTTGTTTTCAAGGGAAACCTTTTGAAAACGACTTATTCGAAAATGAAAAACCTCTCGATTACAATCTTATTGTTTCCAGCTTCTCCTTATGTAAAATTAAGACAGAAGCTGATAAAAGCCGGAGTTGTTCTGAGTACAAGAACGATGCATGACGTAAAAAAAAAAAAAAGTGTGGAGATTGCAAGAGCATGAGGTGGAGCCCCTCTGTTTGGTTGCAACATGCTGATGTAATTTTTTTCAGGATCTCACTGTTTTCGTTTTATGTAACAAGGCTAAAAAATTTGGAATTATGTCTCTACTTAAGTAACATTTAGATATCTGACAATGGCCGCTTTAGGTGAGCTTGATGCTTCAATTAATCAACAATTTTATGGTTTCATAATTTTATTTTAAAAAAGCAACTCTGTTGTGTGCTGTGCCAGTTTTACCATTACCGGCTAAAAGGCGTCACAACCTAGAAATGTGGCCTTGATAGAATCAAGCAGCCTCTGCCTATTGGTGGGAAAGTGCTGATTAATTGTGTCGTAGCCCTGTGAGAAAGTACGCCCTGCGCAAAGCACTAATTATGGGCCCTGCCTGGCCGAGAGAAAAGGGGACAAAACTCTCAACAAAGGCTCATCTCATATCTCAAGACAATGAGGGGCCAAAAGAATTGTAGAAAGGAGAAGTTAATGAGCTGTGTCACCTGGCATCTGTTGATGCTGGGACCAGGACCGGCGTGTGGGTGTTTGTGAAAGAGACAAGCTTTTTGTCTTTCTTTGTGTAGATTTATGTTATTTTCCTTTCTGCAATATTTCCAGCAGAGTAATAAAATAACTGCTCATATTACTGAAGAATAAATAGAAGAAAAAAAAAAACTCTCTCTGTGAAACTCTGACTTCTAAATACTTCTGATGCTTAAAATATCACATGCTGTCATACTTATTTAAAAGTTGAAACAAGGGCAAAAGAACAGGTTCCAAATTTGTTTTTGAGAAATATTGAAAATTGAACTTCCCAGAGATGAACAATATTTGCAGCTCTAGTTGCACTGGATTGTACTGCTGATTCTAAATAGTACTGATTCAGTGGAACAATACAAATATAGCATATTTTACTTTTCATATTGTTTAACAAATATGTATGAGCCTCTATTGCTGTCTTATAAAATCCCCTTAGAATAAAATACAGTTCATTGAAATGTAACATAACGTTGAAGAAGATACATGTATGATTTGTCTGCCATCTAATATGCCAGAAATATGTAATAATGCTGTATATATATATATATATATATATATATATATATATATATATACATACACACACACACACACATACTGTATAAAGCTGCACGGTTTGTAGCACTTTCTCTCAGCAGAAAGGTTTCAGGTTTAATTCCATGCATGGAATTTGCATGCATGTTCTCCCTGTCCATGCATAGGTTCTGTCTGGGCACTCCAGGTTCCTCTCGCAGTCCAAAAACATGACTGTTTAATTGGTGTGAGCATATTGTATAATTGTATATCTCCGTATATATATATATATATATATATATATATATATATATATATATATATATATATATATATACCAGTATATCTTTTTTCAGCATTCATGATGATTTAAGACATACAAGGGAACAAAGATTTGTTTTTCCTTCTCCACTCTTTTACTTTGCTTGTTGTTAAAGTGAAACACTGTCTGACTTTGCAGAAACTCTATGTACAGTAAGCGCATTTGTAATCCTGGAAAAACATAACATTCAAAGCTACTTTGAGCATCACAGAGTAGTTCCTCGGTTGAATTCCGTCATAAAAGGCAACCAGTCGGCTGTGGTCGGCATTTCAGTGTAAGCTAGATGGGTGGTAGCAAAGTACGGGTGTTTGGACAGTAAATGACGTGACCTGAAACTACATTTAGTTAGCATGAGGTGTCGGGTAGCTTGAACTTTGTTTTGTTTGGCTTCATATTTTTGTTTTTTACAGACTTGGAGAAGAGATTTCAGTAACATCCACAGAGACAAAGCATGATTTATGTCTCAAAGAAGGTATATTTCTGTTGACAGGGCTAATTGTTAAGTGTGTGGTTGCTGAGCTCCAGGCCAAAGAAACCACTTTGTTGTTGCACTAAAATTTGTATAACTTATTCAGAACCACAAAGTTTTTTTCTCTACATATTGACACAACTTTGGTCATACTGTACCCATTGTGCAAAGTTTTAGCCTACAGAGATCTTTCTAATAAGAGAATAAAGCCTACTTGGAAGGCAGGACTGCTTTTAAAGATTCTACCTCCTTTCAGAGGGAGGCTCGGCTTTGCAAAAAGGGAATTCTATGTTTCATTTGGAAGTTATTGGTCCACTTCCAAGACCGTCCAGCCTTCAGTGATCAAAGGTTGAGTCGGAGAAAAGCCTAGCAGGAGGCTTATGCAAAAATGTCATCTCCTTATTGCAAATGGGCTGTCATGTTTTTAACCATCAGCACTCGTTTAAATGTCAGATGCACTGAGGTTGTGCTTGGCCAAGTTTGAAGAATGCAGTTTGGGGGGGTGGGGGGATGAAAAGCTGCATTCTCACATTTAAACACAATATAATGTTGGATTGATTAGACCTCGAATTCAGACATTTGAAACAAATGATATCAGGAATCTATTATAATGGAATAAAAAATATAAATGTATAATTAAAATGGTGATAGGATAGGTTTTTATTTATATAAGAGCCAGAGGGGCAATGGCAGTTATTTCCCACAGGTCTTACAGGCATATAGATATATTTTTAGATTTGAACTTAATAGTAAAGAACATGCTTAATATGTCACAATAATTTATTTGTTACCATAATTTCTTTTCTGTATTCCTTTTGTCCTTTTAAAGCCCCATCTTTAGCAACACTGTCAAATGATGCCAATATATTTAGGATTAAAACATCAAACTAGGTTCTTTAGGAGGATGAAAAAGCATGTTTTATCTAATCAGGTACACAAGCATGTGAAAAGGAGATTTTACAGATTAGTTGGTTCAAAATATTCTAAAGATGACCAGTGTTTTTTACATTGATATGTAACCTTCCCTCAATCAAAACACCTGTAGTGTTGCCTTGGTTTTCAGGGTCTGTATTCAACCTGAACCTCATGAGTGCCTTCCAAAATGGCAACTTGTTACAAAACTGTATGAAAATGCCCCTGCTAGTTTTTTATTTGAATTTCTTCTCATGCAAAGGTAGAAAATGAACAAATGACATCAAGTGAAGTTTAGAATACAAGAAACATTCTTCAAAATCCCCCAGCCCTCTTACAGCAAACCCCTGAAGACAAAGAGTCTTCAGTGCGGATCCATTACGTTAATGGTGCATCACCGGGTCACACGTCGAGCACTCTGTTTCCACCTTTAAAAGCAGGTCAGACATTTGAAATCCCATGACAGAATGGGGAATCTCTGGATCTGCTGGAGGTGACTACCAGAGTGGAGTGAAGGAGGGGGGCCCTGATAAGATCGCAAGGAATTTAAACACAAGTATTTTTCCCCCTTCAAAGCCTCCATCTTTCAGTCTGACAGTAACTGTAAACATCATTCCTGCACACAGGATTATGAGATGTGCTATTCTGCTTTCATTTAGCACTTTAAAAACATGGAAAAATCTCCACTATAGTGTCAGTTTATAGAGTTAGAGGAGATAGCATGTAGATCAAAGTCATATTCTAGCTGCTACTGGCTTCAAGATCTTAACAGGGAAAAATATATTTATCACTTTGCTTTTTTTTGCTGCCATTCACTACTTTTAATCACAGCTATGCACAAAAATACTACTTTATAATCCAATGATGGCTTTTGCAGAGATAACTGTATCAGTGCTGCAGGAGAGACCAGATTTGCTTTCATAGTGATATAAAAATCCTTCAGAGTTGTTGCAATAGGTCTTTTTAAAGCGATGACCTTAAAAGTAGTCCTCACACTCCTGAGTTTGTATATAAAAATGCATACCTTGGCAGTATGTGGAGAAGGGAATGTACGCTATGTTGAACCAACTACCTGAAGCATTCATCTTTCAAAGACTGTCATATTCGGCAGGCAAATTTTCAAAACCCAGACACAAAAAAATGTTTCTATAATAAACACAAACTTTTTTAAATATAGTCCTCATTTTATTAAAAGAGGCCAAATAAAACTCACATTTTATTTACAAAGGGAGACAATAAATATCTTAATAATAGTCATAAAATTATTTTTTGCTTAGATTTGTTTAAAAAAAAAACATAAATGTGTCATGTTGTTAGTAGTAGGTCATACAAAAAGACCCTCCATGAGACTGGTAGATACAAACTACTGGTGGAAAAAAAAAACCTGGAGTTTATTGTCATTGAGTGAAGTTTTCCCTTTTTAAGATTCAGACATGAAATCCGGTTAAAAGGATTTCCTGAATCCTGTCATCTGAATATTAGCAAAAGTAGTTTCAATCATCTGATGAAGTTGTATGAAAAAGTGTTGGAGAATAACACACAGATACCTGTCTGTGGATGATCGATGTGCTTTTTTCTTTCTGAAAGCATCTTCAAGTGAAAAAAAAAACAAGAGCTGGCTTTAGGGTCAAAGTTGAGATTAACTGAACACAGACAGTCAGACTAGGTACAGATAAACAAAAGAGGTAGAGGAAGTCATCATGAGCCCCAAAAGGCTGGCAAACTCTCAGGTTAGGAATAAAAGGCATCTACATTTGAAGCAGTTTTAACACATGTGACAAAGAGCTGAAAGAAACAGACAAAAGGGATTAACAACCATCCCCAAGTGTGTTGAAGCTGGAAGACAGTGTGGAATTACGCTGTTGTCTGTTTGGACTGTTTCCTTCCAGTGTTTAAACAAGGCTAAAAATCACAACAGGTGTCGAACTCGTCAAAGCACGTTGCGTTTCGGCCCGGATCGCAGGCTGCATGGAAATGTCATGAAGATCTCACCAGGGACTGCGAGGTCTCAGCGCATTCCAGGAGCCGCAAGCGACTTGTAGGGATGAAAGGCACACGGAAAGAAAGTAAAGGACAAGAGACTTGTAAAATATTGCACTCAAAGCTACACAGTTATCCCGGCAGCATGGTGTCACCTGCCGCCTCTCTCCGTTTCATCTCCATGGTGTCTAATTCCAGTGGAAAGTATTGGATCCGCGTTGTCAGGGGCAACACAAACAAAAACCGACAGGTATTCCAATAAATCTCTAGTTGGCTGATTTTTATAACATTGCGTCAGCTCCTGCTTCAGCTCCCATTGTCAAAAAGAAAGTATGCCTTCAGCTTGCAGTTCAAACGTGGCTGAGGACAGCAGCGACACGAGTTCTCTCAGAGGTCCTTGAGTTTATCCAGTATAAATAACATGACAGAAAATTTAGCACAATGACATCAACCCAGGAGAATCCAAGAGTCAGGAAATATCATCCTGAAATACAAAAATATAACATCTTTGACTCTTTTGTTCATTTTTTTTTTCTTTCTTTTACAGAAGTTGGGTCTTTAAGGTGATTCTTTTAAGAAGCTTGAGATTTTCAGTTTGTTTTTCCCCCCCTTGTGAGGATATCTAGTGCTGTCCCAACGGTCCCATCAGTTCCTCTTGGAGTTTTGTTTTAACCGCCGAGCCCTTCGTGTCCGCTTAGTTACTGGGGTGAAACGGAACTCCTCTAGCGGGTCCACTCGGCCCTTCGGATGGCGCTTCATGAAGTGGACTTCTTGTTGCCTCTGTGTGGTGCGGAACCCTTTCTTGGGCCGTCCCTTTCGGTTGAAGCCGAGGTACCATCCTTTGTACTTAGCAGACACCAGGGCTGTGTAGTTGTTCTCCAGGAATTCCTCCACAAAGACGCAGTCTTCCCTCCTTCCATCGGGCTGGAGAGTAGAAAGAAAATAGACAATATTAGAAACAAAGCAGCACAAATATTGGATTCCCTAAAGTCTGTTACTTTCATGCAGGATGATGACTAAGAGTTATTTAGAGGAAAACCTCATGAAATTAAGGGGAGTGGAGGCCTAGTGGTTAAAGCATTGCAGTTGGTTCCCCAGACTGCTCCCCGGGCACCGTACAGTGGCAGCTCACTGCTCCCCAAGGGGATGGGTTAAATGCAGAGTGTGAATTTTCCCCATTGTGGGACAATAAAAAGGATTTACATTTGATTATATAAAATATGGATTTATGATGACAGGTTTTTTTTATATATCTAATTAGTCTCTATTCACTTTTCGGATCTACACTGAACTCCTTATGTTAGAAATATGCTTTTGCTAAAGATTTGAAGTAAATACAATCTTGGATAACAGGGAAATAGCACCCCAAAACAAGATATAAAGGACATTTTATTCCCATGAAAGGAGCGAACAGCCAATGCAATAAGGTGTTCAGAGGTGTTATGTATGGGAATAAATGAAATTAGGCAAGAAAAAATTATGTTTTTTGTGCATGTTTAGCCACCCTAGTTAGCCTCAGTAGTAACGTGTTTCTTCCTTGTGATTACACCAAATAAAGGTGTCCACACCTATAATCTCTTTGTATACCAGTAGTTAAAGTTATAGTGTTAGCTTTAAGGGACTTTTTAGGGCCAAACATGTTGTTGTAAGGAGACTATTGGAGACAGAGTCCTGAAGTGGTGTGACATGATTCCGTACCTCAGAGGGTAAAGACAATAATTATGTGCAGAAACGTGGGACTTGCACAACCACTCCATGGTTTCCTAAGGTATTCTGGTCACACAGTTGCTCGGGATCCATATCAATACTGGTCTGAACTGGAGCAGGACATCTGTATTCACACATTTCACCAGACATTTGGCCTGCAAATTGTCCCTAATTGAGTCTTTTAATCTTGATTCAAATTAAGCAAACATTAATAGTTTTTGTAACTTTAAGAATAAATAGGATATTTTTAACATGGCTGTAGTTGTACCCTTAAAACAATTAGAGAAAAAACTTAAACTCAACGTTAAATAGAATAGAAATAGAAAAAAGCTCAGGAAAAATAAAGGGAATAACTGTAAAAAAATAAGTCTGATACTGTTCAAATATTTCCAATGATGCAGCAATCAAGAATATTGGTGACTGAAAACTTTTCCAAGGGAGGATCTCATACATTTTTATGTTTGACTTTAAATTACATCTTTACATGGCAGAGTTCAGCTTTATTTCTAAACTAACATAAGTGGCTGAAAGGAGCTAAATGTTAAGATTAAATGTCAAAACTCATCTTTGCAGGTATGATTTTAATTTGCCTCTTAACCATATTATGATTCGAATTTATTCATGTCTGTTAAACAAAAGTCTTCCTCCATTAAGCAATACTTTATTTAAAGTGGGTATAACTAAAAAAGCAAGATGACACCTACAAAAAATGTATTAGACCTTAAATAAAAAAATGTAAATGAGTTTTCACTATAAAAACAGAACCAAATCTGGCTTAACAACAGCTACCAACTGCTTTCTGACAAGCAGTTTTACAGCTCTAGAAACTCATCAAAGTGGCCTACAGGAATTATACAGAACAACAGTCAAAAAAGTCATCATGTACTGAGGCCTGAGTAAACCAAAGATTTTAAGGTCAACTTTAGGGTGTGCACGTCCGAAGAGAATTGTTTTCATTTTCAAACTATAAAAAACAGCTTCAATATATTCCATTAACGTTCCAAATATTGAGCAGCTGTTAAAGCAGTCTATCTTCTCCTCAGAAATGTCTCAAATCACATTTCAAACATTGGGAGGCAGATTCATCTTTAAATCAGCACATTAACAACAACACTTATCGATGACTGAAAGAAGTAGACTGAGGTCATATTTTCAGAATATGTAAAGATTTTTTAAATGGGTTAAAAAGCACAAAAGCTATAAAATAAAAATAAAAAGTAAAAAAAATATAATATTTACATCTAGAAAATATATTTAGGCCCCGTCCACACGAAGTCAAAACGAACACGAAACGCTGATATTTTCCAGAACGTTTGTCGTAAAGACGGAGACGTAAAATAAATGTGATCGTCCACACGAATGCATGGAAACGCTGCAAAATGTATGCCAGGCCTGTAAGTGGCGCTGTCGTGCCAAAGCAAAAATAGGCGACGAAATGTTGGGCATGCGCACTAATATTTATACATGGTTGCCCTGTTGTAAGCCCGACAGCAGGGTGAGTAGCATGAGCAGCAACCATTCAACACAGTACGGCGCCATTGTTGTTGTGATACTGTGTCGCGCATGCGTGTTTAGAGGCGACGCTATGACGCATGCGTGTAAAAAAAAAATGCGGTTAGAGCTTAAAGATGGAAACGCGAAAACGGCGTTTCAAAATCTTCCCACTTTGAAGGCGGAATAAAAAAAAGATTGTTTACAAACCCCCGAACGCCGGCAACGTATGGATAAGAGGCTGGTTTGGTGAAAAATTTGTGCGTTTAGGCCAGGGTTCGGCTTCGTGTGGACGGGGCCTAAATCTGAAAAAAAATGTGATTTATCCTCCCTGTGCAATACAGGGAGAGAGCACATCTTTTAACGGATAACAGGAAGCCTTGACAGGGTACTATATACTTTGTTTTATTCATTTAGGCAAATGTGTAAGCAGTTTTTAGAATTCTAACCATGCATTATAACCTCTTTATTTCTGTCTGAGATTAACAATGCTTAACCATGCTTTATTGCTTTCTCACACTAGTTCATCTAATCATTTTATATATTTATATAAGAGGCCAAAGCAGGGAACTTAATTTTCTTGTATCAAGTTTCTAAAAAATACATTGGATTCAGCTGAAATCTGTTACAGCAAGTTAATGTTGTGCAGAAATTCTGAAACAAAAATAGGACATAAAAATCTTACCTATCCAAAACTAATAGTTTTGGTAAATTTACAACTCGTATTTGTTGGTATAGGGAATTTGAAAAGTTTTTTGCTACGTTTTAAATTCAATCGCAGTTTAGTTTTCTGCAAACAAATCATACATTTTTTTTTAATGATTAAGATAAAATGTGTATTTTTAGCAAATGTCAGTAGGCATACATACTATCCTGCAGTAGCAGGTCACCCATCTTTCATTTTATACACAAATAAGGGGTTTTGTACTACTAAGAAAAAACTCATCTCGCTTAGTTCAACACTAAAAGGCAGCTGAAATTACAAACATTGGGGTTATTAATGGAGCTAAATTATGTGTCTCAGATGATAATAAACTTTTTCAGCTACATAAACTACAGTCACATGCAGTCATCTTCCTCTTGGGGCCACCTGGTGTGACTAAGTGATAGAATTGCAACGGCATTCCTCCTAAGTGACCATTAGTCTCTCAATGCATTGTGGTGATTGCAGTCAGTAATTGACTGATCGAGTGTCAAAGGAGTTGGCCGATTACGTAATGGAAGAATGGCTTTGAGTTATCAAAGGGGTTTTGTTCGGGTGAGCAAAAAACACAAGGAGAAAAACGATCTGAGGTTCAACTAAATTCAGCAAGGATTAAAAGCTCGGTTTACAATATGGGTTCTAATATTAGTCTAATAAAGCTTTTCAAAGCCTTCCATAAGACTTAAACTAAACCATACTCACCCTTCCGACAATTTTGCCGTTATTGTTCATGCAAATGTAATGTTCACTTTCTTTTCCTTTTATTCGAATGTGACTCCCGAAGGTTTCCGTCTCGACAACGAGAAGAGCTGTAGAAGAAAAAAACAACAGTTTTAATTGAATACATCACAATGGCTCTCTATGTATAGATTTCACCTCATAGTGAGAGGAAAACATTCATGGTGAGTTTAAGATGCACAATCGGCGATTCTTGTTTATGAAAATTCTCTAAGATCCGATTACCACTTAAGTGAATCTATTGTGATGATTCAGAACTTTACTATAAGTTTTATTTTTGATTTCTCAAATAGACTTGGTCATTAAAATAACCAGTTGAGCCAACTGGCATGACTAGACAAGACAGTAAATTGACTGAAGCCGTATCCCAATGGCTCCCTTACTTTCCGGGCCCCTGACACCCCACTCCTGCTCCCATCCTACATGTTCACCCCTGCAAGGTCACCTTTGTCTCCACTCGCCCTCAGACCAGTAAAGAAATCTGCCAAACATTTGTGGAGTAGTTATGCGCCCCTCAGGATTAGGTTTCAAGTTCCCTTTAGTCTGTGCTCACTCAATCAAAAAGTTAAGATGATCCATTTGTTTAACACACAGGGCCATTCAGTAGCGCTCAAGGGAGCAGGGGAAGAATAGTGGAAGGGAATGGGATGGGCTCGGGGGCAGAAGTACTCTCCCGCCCTAAAATCAAACCTTTAGAAAAAAAAAAAGTGGGAAGTAGGTGACCTTTCTGAAAAGTTTGGGAGGGGAAAACAATTCCCTCTTCAGTGGTAAGAAATTTCTGTTTGTAGTAGCTTGGTTTTATAATTAGATGGATTAGTTTAGATCCCTTAAGGTGCAGTTAAGAAAAGTAAAACCCAATCTGAGCAGCTGACATATTTACTGACATATTTGTTCTCTCCTTTCTTGCAAATTGTTCTTTTTCCTTCACCTAATCCCCAAAATGTTTAATAACTTAGTAGTACAGGGAAATTCAAACTCTCCCTAAACTTAACTATCATCAGTATAACTTAGTTGTACTTAATCACATTCTTATTCCTTAATCCATGCAGGTTTATGGTTGCCCACAAGTTTATTGAGCAGTTAATTGAAAAGAACAAATAAGTTGTACATTTAATAAAAAAAATTTGGAGTCCCACAAGGTTCTGTCTTAAGAACTAAATTTTTCCATTTAGCCATTGAATGATTCTTCCATAAGAGGGATGAAATAAAATATTTTTGGTAATGAGTTAAAGGGCAATCTAATTAATTTACTAGATACGAATTACGTAGAAAATGGTTAATTAGACTTAGACAACTTTTATCGTCATTTCTTTTATACACAGGGTGTATACAAAACGAGATTTGGTTTTGCATACACTCTCATGACATTTCCATTTTTTAAAGTGCAGCAGTGATCACATCTAAACAGTGTGGGAGAAAAAAACATGGTGCAAAACAGCAAAACGCATTGATATGGAAGTTCAGAGCATAAAAAAAAATTAATAAAGCTCTAGAATAAAACGTGTATGTAAATATTCATTTATAAGCAAATGACACTTTTCAATTATTTTGACAATGATAAAAAAAACAATGATTTCTTATTCAGTTCAAATACTTTAAGGAAAAAATAATGCTGCAGGCTATTTAAGATTTTTCCTCAGTCTATGATTAATCGTGATGATTTTGAATGTTTTGCTGAGTAGTAATTTCTAGATGGAAGACTAATAAGTGCACATAATAGGAAAAAATCCAATGAAACTGTAAAATGAAAATGAATTGAGCAATTGTTATGTGAATATATCCTTTCTTTCTAAGCAACTGCATCAGGGGGGTATTGGTCTGTTTTCCCAATGATGCAGTGAGGCTAGTGTGCGAAAGAGAAGCTGAGCTTACTGGATGACTGTGAGCAGATTAAAATATCCATCTGAACTCCTCTTGAACTTTTTTTTCTTATAGTGCATTGCTAAAATAGAATCTAAAAGAAATGGAGTTACGTCCCTCTTGACCTTAAACAAGTGGACATCTGTCAAAAAATCAACTAAAAGCTTAAATACGTTTTTGTGTTTTAAATCCACATTGCAAGCATATTTGCAAAGAAATGGTGGAATTATCTGTACAATACACACAGACACCATCCATCCATCTTGTGTTTTAACTGTCCCCTTTTTCAATTTTAGAGACAGACATCATTTACAATGAAAGGTTCTGGAAGAAGTCGAATGTTAATCTTTTAAAAGTAACAAAACGCTATGCTTATACCTGGGATGGATGATAATGCTTCAAATTTGAATGTACAAATATGCAGACAACGGTCTACAACCAAGTTAGGTATGTCTTGTTTTTTGAGTGCGTGGGGGGGGGTGAGATTGTGGGCCTTTTGCCGCAAGACTACAATCTTTCAAAGTGAACATTACTAGTGAGTGCAAAGGAGTTCACAGGTGCCAGGTACTGCAGCTGGATGGGGAGGAGGTGGTGCGGGACAGAGAGAGGGGGAGAGAATTGGCAAAGGCTCATGGGAAAAATTGGATCTGCTTCCACTCAAGCTCTAACAAGCAGTGAGGAAACTTCGCCTGCGCGCATCTGCGACTGAACAAACTGACTCAGAGGCATTCAAGACCAGCAATTTTGGAGCTGTGAGTCAGCTGTTGTGAGAAAAAAAATATCTGCAGGGAAGTACGGTGCAGGCTACATCAAAGAGCTCTTTACTGACCATCAATTTAGCCATATTTGATCTACAGTAATGAAAAAGCACACGCAGGGCTAAGTGGTGAGATTTAAGGGAGATAATTCATTTGAGATCAAAATTCTCAAGGATGTTCACATTTTGAAGTACAGATTCACCAAAAAACCCTCTCTAGGTAACCTTTCTAGAAAAAAACATGTCAATCAGATACACTGATCAGTCTATTACAAGCTTCTGGTTTTACATTAAGCTTGTTTTCCTTCTTTTTTTGTAAGGACAACAGCGGTTACAAGACAGAAAATATGCTAAATAGATTTGAAATTTAAAAAAGGATTAGAAAATGCATGAAGATTTATGCATCAACGCATATTTTGTTAAACTCAAGGAAGAGCATCAGGTACATGTTGTTTATGGATTCGTGTATAGACAGGAAAGACGGGTGGTACTTATTTAATAAACAGAGAGAAAAAAAATGATTTTTCAGCAACGAGCAATTTTTCTGATCAGAGCCAATATCTGGCCAATTGAAATGTTTATCTTTAGTATTTAGCATCATAAAGATCACCATTAACATTAGTAGTTTCAAAAGGATTTTGCCTAACCTCTTTTGTTAATGTCTGACTTCCAAAATACAACCCCTCTTTCACTAGACACACAGAAAATCACCTACGAACAATGAAGCGCAAACATCCTAAAGAGCAGGGGTTAAGAGGGAGTCTCTAGACGCAGCAAAACATTTATCAAAGCTGGGTTTGCATTCTCAGACTAGCTATATTGTCAGGTGAGATGCACAGAAATTCTCCCATACCATACTTGCCCCCATCATCTCCATTGGCGTTGATCTTCTTCCCCAATATCTGGACGTGCTTTCCTGTGGTCCTGCTATAGAGCTGGTAGATCCGGACCTGCTTTCGGCTCAGATCATCCGGGTTCCTTGTGTGGTTCTCAATGTAAACCCTGAAATCTGCAGTGCTCTGCTGCGATTCCTGCACGACAAGAGACAGACAGCAACACTGTCAAGACACAGGTGTTGATAGTAATACGTGCTGTTGGTTTTATGGGTTCTATGTCAAAAGAGGAGTGCTTTAGGGTGTAAAAAAAGAACATGGAGATTTGTGCGCTGCACAGATTTACCGTTTCTCTCCTTTAAAGTGCCAATTTTTATGTGCAATGCATTTACAACGAGCTAAGTACTTTGTGAGAGTCACTAATGAAGTGGATGTTTGAGTAAAACTTCAACAGAACAAGGGCAAAGCCTTCAGAAAATCCTTGTTTCTGAGTATCGGGGCGCAGTATAAAGTGAGCCTGGGGCGGTATTGAGAAACCTGTACTTCATTTCCACAAGTAAGCAAGCCACTAGCAATTATACACCTGAAGCATCCAGACCTGTTGCACTATCATCAAACAAATATCTGCCTGCAGGCTAAATAGGGTTCATAAATTAGAAAATGCAGCAGGCGTAGGACATGAGTGAGGAAGAAAGGAGAACCTTAAACCACAAAGACTTGCTTGTTGGACATTTTTTTAAAACAAATTGCACAAATCTTCCTTCTCTCTCTCTCTCCCTAACTTTATGTTTTTTGAGTTACCTAAGACCTGACATAAAGATGTGGAAAAATAGTTGGCAGCATTTCAGAAAAGCAACTGTGACCCAACATGTGGAAGAGGGAGAGGGAAGGTATACTTTCAGAAGCCATGGAATCTCGGTTCAAACCATGATTCTATCTCCCCAGCTGTATATGGTGTGGTAATTGCAGAGTAATGGCTTTTTATGTGGCTGATCTCAGGTGGCTAATTATATACAGATTACATACCCAGAGTGCTTGTTGATTTAACTTCAGTGAATTGATGGCACGTAGCAAAAACATGATGGGAAACGTTAACTCCCGCAGAACAAATCCTTTAAATCGGAGAGGAAAGAAAAACAACTTCTTCAAATCCGAACGCAAACTTGTTTAGGCTCCTGACGTCCCTCTTTCTCATTCAAATGTCACACGTTTCCGTGTCTCTGAAATCCCTTCTATAAGCTGGGAAATGCATGTTCTACACTAATAAAACCCTCATAGATACAAGAAGTGATAAACATTAAGGTTTGAAATGCCAACTTTTTGTAAATGTGAATCTAAAGCTAACCATGGGCTTAATGGACAATTAAAACTGAAGTTTTGACTAAAATCATTCTTAAAACTTAAAATAAAATTAATTTTGTTAAGAACATTGATGATAAGATATTCAAAATGTGGAGTGCAAAATATTGTTTTATGTTATTTTTGTACAAAGTGCATCTTCTGTGCCTCTTTACTTGCACCCACGCTAAAATTTCACAGAATATGACAACAAAGGGTTGCCAGATCAAGCAAGAAAAACCCAAATTTTGCTCAAGTGTTTACCTTAAACCCAACCTGAACCAAAGGTCCACATTCTAACTGTGTAACAAAAAAAAAAAAACATGTTTAGAGCTAATGTGATGCAATAACTGTAGATATGAACTGATGTGTTTCTTTTCTCTCCCAACAGAAATTTCTACTTTTGAGCTTCCCTGCCTTTTCCTCTTTTTACCATCAGTTAAGCTGCAGCAGCCACAACGGCAGGGAAAGGTGTCGCTGCCGCAACAGCAGAAGACTGTGCATTCCAATTTCCACTGAGACATGTTTGCAACTGCAAGCACTTCATGCCAAACTCTCCACAAATATGTTCAAAGCTGTTCATCAGCATGATCTGTTGTCAAACATGAACCTCAAAGCTGTGGAGTGAAAAAAAA